CCTTTCCCTACCAGCTGTCCATTTTCATTAATTAAATATTATTATTATATAAACACCAGTGAAATACCAGGTGAGCTTTTGCTCGTAAACATGATATCGTCACAAGTGAAAATAACATGTTGTTTTCACAAGTCTTAAGATTGCCATTGCTAAAGCTATATAATCTCTTAAAAAGTACCCAGATGTGTTGCTTTATGATCGAAACATCATCGGTCCCTCGGAAATCTTCGGTTATCTTCGACAATCTTCGGGAAATGTTCGGAAACGTTCGTCTAGACTTCGGAGCAATTTTTGAAAATCTTCGGAAATCTTCGGAAAAGTGTCCGGAAATCTTCGGAAAATGGTCAAAAACGTCGTTGTTAGTATGTTTATATAATAAACAGAATATTACATGCGCGCTCACTCGTGAGATATCGAGTTGAACACGAGAAGGTAAAATTCATATCCACAAGCAGGCATGTAATATCCTCCATAACTTTTTAAAGAGAATTGAGTTAACTCCAGCCTTAGCTTAAATGAACTCATCAAAGAGAGATCTGTTAGGTTACTGTTAGGTTATGCCATTTTGGGAATTTTATTGTTGATTACAGCTTAACCGATCAGCTTTATTAAAAACTGAAAATCGGATCATTGAATGTTGACAAGACGAAACAGGACACCCCACCTCAGTCTTCTGCCATGATGATATGAGGGCAAGCAAATTAATTTCTTGGAATTTCCCAAAATTAGGGTTGTGATATTTTGTATGAATTCTCAATGATTATAAATTCGAGAAAATTTTAGTCATTACTGCCAATTTTCAGTTGTAGTTTTCACTGCCCAGCTTAAGATGACCACATCTTGATGGTAGGATTACTAAAAATGACCACATTTTGAAAACCCAACAGTGAACACTACAACAAATGGGGAAATCACTTTGTATTTTGTAAAAGTCGAGTGTTAATGCTTAGGGCTAAAAATTCACAAGTAAATAAATATTATCTGCTTTTATGCAACCCTGATTTTAAGTTGTTCCTATTTAATAATTCCCACTGAAAAGGATTCTGATCTAATACTGCTGGAAAAGGTACCACAAACCATTCAGCACAAAAGAAAAACAGCATACAGGGCTAATTCACTTGAAACCTGAACTTGTTCATCTTTAGTGGGTTCAAGGAACTCTGACAAGATTAGAATTATATTGAAACAGTAGCCAGTTTCTTCGGGTTGTGTAAGTTGTAGGGCTTTAAAAAGCTTTTTTTTGTGATTGCAATGCTTACATTCAATACTGAAGTTAAATGGTTTTGAGGTTTACTAAGAGAATAAAATCAAATCAGTGAAGCAAAAAAGATGGGTTATGATGCATCCTGCTGGTCTTGTAAGGTTTGTCAGCTGTTTGAGAACAGGGTAGCAGTCCCAATTCTGAATCAAGTCCAAGTATTAAAACTAGAAGTTTTAAAGGACAGAGTTGACTTAAGTACACAGACCCAAGCAAATCCACTGGACAAAGGTCCAGTAGTCAGATCATTGCCTGTATTTACATCTTCATTAAATTCACAACAACAGTTTGCTAACAAGTGGTACGCATACAGTACCTACCCTGGTCCATAAACTAGAAATAAAAACCTACATACTGGATAGCTGTTGGATCACTGTATGATCATTGTTTGCTGACAAGTGGAATTAGGGTGCCTTGCTTCAGTCACTTTGTCAATGACAAAAAAAAATTGTAAGATATTGTTCTTTAGATTTCACAATATCAGGGTCGCAATACACTGTATACCGGTAATTTATTTCTGATGATTATCAATTCAAGAAACTTCTAGTCATAAATACCAATTTTCAGTGGTTTTAGTTTTCACTGACCTGAGCTATAGATGACCACATCTAGATGGTGGGCTCCCTAAAATGACCACTATTTGAAAACCAGCTGGAAATACTATTAACAACAAATGGAGAAACCGTTTTGTTAGCAGCTATCTGCAACCCTGATTTTGAGTTTTCCTTTCGACAGACTTTTCATAAACAGCCCTCGCTGCCAGCTACAAAAAAAAGAATTTGAATTGCAAGATATTGTATGTATTCACTTGAAGCTTAGCTGTTCAGACCTTTTTGGTTTACATTTTATTTTAGAACTAATTTCCGCAAAATTTCCAACCATTTGCTTTACAAACGGAATTTTTAACTCTTGTTCTACATATGACCTTTTAATTGATTCAGTCGAAGAATTCATAGGTAAACATAGGTATGCACAGGTAAACTTTACATTGATTTCTTTTTCTACATAGAAATTTGATATCCTTTGAACAGAAAGAGTTTCTAGTTATTGTTGGTAAAGTTACACATTTGCTTTGAGCTGTGAGAGAAGAAATGAAATAGTTCATCTACATTTTGGATCCTGTCGCAGGCACTTTCTTTGCCCTTCCATAAAATAGCTTTCCACATTGATTTTGCCACTGACATCTGCCATGACTATCCCAAGTGAAAACATGTCCAAAGCGAAAGATGATGTCTGGCCAAGAACTATTTCTGGTGCTATGTGTCGGTGTTTTTTTTTTTCACTCTTCTTGCTCGTGAGCAGTCATGGACTTCTGTTTAGAACGGGCATCGGACAACAAAACAGCCTTTCCAAAATCAATGAGCATTGTATGGTATGTATTGTTTACTGCCGTAACAAGAATGTTGTCACTCTTAATATCTCTATGCAGAAGCCTTTTTGATTGTAAATGCTCCAAAGCTTCACACAGTTACAGTGTGATCTTTCCTGCAGAGGACTTTGAGAGAGACATGGATTTACTATGTAGGGCACGATGCAAAGTACAAGGAGAATTGCCAAGACCATAAAATATGACACAAGAAAGTAGGGTTTTTGAGTAAAACTTACACCAAACAAATGAGGTATTGATGCATACGAGCATTGTGCCATAGTAGTAGCTTCATTTCTGACATCCTGAGAAGAGGAGAGATGATTAAATACTTTGACAGCTACTGGAATGCCCTTGTAGTACTTCTTCACACACTGACCGAAAACACCTTGTCCAAGTTGAACCTTTATTTCATGGCCATCTTTATCTTTTGTGGACATTAAGTGATGCCACTCAATTTCAGAAACATTGGGATTAACTCCTGTGCCACCCAAGGAAAACATCTAAAACACAGGCACACAAAAACATGTCACTGAACTAACCAACTTAAAAGTGATACTCAGTAGCTTTATTGATAATATTGTAGAACTATACTTCCCCATGCCACCTTATTGTGCTCATGGGCAGATTCAGACTGAGGTGCTGCTAGGGGGCTGCAACCTTCCCTCCCCCCTTCTTTTTCTTAAAATATTGTTTAATATCTATAGAATTCTCTAAAAGTGTGTCTTCCAGAGCCTTAATCTTTGGACAAAATTGCTCAAGTCTACTACTGGCACTGTCTATAAACTTCATGTGTTGTCATTATCTTGATGACTTTAAATAACTTTGACACCTTCCTTGTGCATATATTTAAACTTATGCCCAATTGTGCATAAACTAAGCCAAAAGGTCACCAAATCAGATGAATCTTGATATGCCAATTAAAATTCGATGATGAAAAATGGAGGTCACAGAACTCGTTCCAGAGCTACGGGTAGATTAAGCCTAAATTAATGGTGTTTCTTAGATACTTTAGTGTTGCTATGGAAACCTTTAATAGTATAAAAATTATCAACACTTGTTGAACAATGGACATTTGTTTGATACCATTTTCAAAAATGAAACAGTGTTGTAGCATCGATCCATCACATAGTTAGTATCAAGAAATAAGGAAACTCTTCTGAGCCACTTTAAGAGAACGAGGTTTGTGACAAATGTACTGTTTGCTATTCCTTTGCTATTTTATCAGATGCAAAAGTGCATGAGGTGTTTTTCTGTTATCCCACACCTTAATGAAAAATTCACTGCAAATTTTAACCCTTTACATAACGCAAGAACATATATATTGTAACTTAAATTAAATAACACAGAACGTATTTCAAATAAAAGGAAAAGTTCAACTTTTAATTAGGAATTACCTTCGTTCCCGTCCCATATAGACAGGCCGACCGGGGTACCCCTCCGCCGTTCTCCCGAAGTAACAAATCTTTGTTTGTCTTCCATTTTAAATAGCATTTCCGTGCAAGGAAAAGATGTCGCTGGTTTTGCTCCGATTCTTTATGTAATCGTTCGGCGAGACCCTCGATGACTGCGTTCGCTTCGAACTTACTATGATCATTTGCTTTTCTCCTCTGAAGCCGTTTCCCCTTCTTTCTTTCGTTTCTCATACGACGACGCTCGCCAGCGGTGTTCTCTCTCCATTTAAACGAGGTTCTATTGGCTTGTTTGTTTCCTATGGAATAGGAAACAATTTAGTTGCGAGCTTGGTACTAGTCACTGCTGCGGCACTTTCCCGCCGAAATATGTTGAATTAGTA